GGGGCACCTGCATCCCTCAGTGATGGCTTTGGTCCTAAACTGTCTTCCTTACAGCTTCAGAACTCCCTATGTACGAGGCTGTGGCTTTGTTGTCTCTAAGCTATCTGCAGGGCCTAACTGTGTTTGACATAGGTACCCTTAGCAAGTCTTTACGTTAAAAAGTCTTTACTTTTGTGTATGTGTGCGTGCACAAGTGCACATGCGCACACCATGGCACACATGTGGAGGTCAGAAGACAACTTGGAGTTGGTTCTCTCCTTCCACCATGTGGGTCCCAGAGGTTGAACTTGTCATCAGGCTTGGTGGCAAGCACCTATACCTGCTGAGCCAGCTCTCCAGCCATTAATGAAACTTTTAAAAAATTACTTCATTAGGGGCTGTAGAAATGGGTCAGTAGGTAAGATCACTTGCTGCCCTTCCAGAGGCCCTGAGTTCAGATCCTAACACCCACACTGGGTGACTCACAACACCTGGAACTCCAGCTCCAGGGGATTTGACGCCCCTGTCTCACCTCCATGGGCACCCTCATGCATACAAACACAAGAAAATAAATTTAAAAGTAAAATTATTTCATCAATTACTTCTCAGACTTTTGGCTGAGATCACGGGTAAAAATCGCTTCATCCTTTTGTAATGGTTTAATGATTGTGTGCTCCCAGTTTGGGCTCTGGCAACAAGAGCAGTCTGAGGAGTGGGGCATGGATCCCAGGAGCAGCCCCGAGGCATGGCTGTCCTCCCTCATCTCGTAAGAAGGGCCTTCTTGGTCTTCATGGCTGGAGGACTCTGTGGAGTCCATATTAGGACAGATTAGTGATTCTGCCAACTTCATCCTTCCTGTCACACTGTTGGGCTACAAAGCTCAGGGCTTTGCCTTCAGTTCAGGGGCCATCCCCGAGGACAGCGCTGGTCTGTCAGGCTGTGTGCCCCACGAGCCTCAACACGGATGGATTCCATGTGTCTCTCCTTCATTTTAGAGTACAGGACTGTGGACGCCTTGCCACAGCAGATGTTTGAGTCTGAAATAGCTCCCGACAGGGAAGGCCCTTCCTGGGATGAGATTCTGAACCTCTCACCTAGTGACATATATCCCAAGAATCCCAGTTTTGAAAACAGTGTACGATTCTGGGCTTGCAAGGATTCACAACTGGAAACCAAGAGAAGCTGCCATCTTTCTTTCCATATGCTAGGCTGGAGATGATTCTTCCAGCCCCCAGTCTCTTTTGTGCTGAGTCTGTGACTGGCCTCACCTGTCCTGAGGGCACAGCTGCTCTCTGCATCCCACCAGGGATTTTTCTTAGAGCTGTTGATGGAAGTCAAGTCAAGGAAGCTGATGGAGATGGGGTTGTCCTTCAGCTGGCAGTGCTTGCCTAGCACATGAAGCTCTGGGCTCTAGCTCCAGCACTGCATAAATCATGGGTTGGGGTACACCTGTGTAAATCCCAGCACTCTGGAGGTGGAGGCAGGACATCCCAGGTCATCCTCAGCTACACAGCAAGTTTGAGGCTAGTCTGGGATGAGACCTTGTCAACCCCCTGCCACCCACACAAACAGAATGGAATGATTATTCTATACATGTGTGAAGTGGGTTTATAGACTTTTCATTTATTTTTATATGGTATTTTGCTGTTCTGTCAAAACACAGTGCTACAATGTTACAAGAATGAATTATGCATTTTCAAATGTGGAAAAGGAATAGATTCTAGTAAAGTAGCTTCAATGTGAAGAGAAATATGAATGTGAAAATGTTATAAGTTTTCCTTGGGGGCAGTGGGACTGTGTTCTGAAAGCCTCTTTAATTCAGCTAGAATTATAGCAAGATTTTGAGTAAACCATTCGTTGAGGACAGTTTTCTGGATTTAATCTGAAACAGTGGTGACATGTCTCTTCTGGGAATTTTAGAGATTTATTTAATTAAACATTTTAATCATGGTAAAATCTGAACAGAATGAAATTCACGGTCTTAGAGCTGGCATGATAGTGCATGTTCTGTAATCCTAGCACCTAGGAGGTAGAAACAGTAAAATTAGTTCAAGGTCATACTCAGCTAGTGATTTTGAGGCAGTGTGGGTTGAGACCCTATCTACCTACCATCCTTCCATACTTCATTTCTTGTGTATCTAATATAATTTTTGTTTTGTTTTGAGACAAGGTAGCCTAGGCTGGCCTTGGGATGACATAGTCCAAGGTGGCTTTGAACACGTGGCAGTCCTGGGATTACAGGCATAAGATACTATTCTTGGCTAATATCTATAATTTTGTAAAAAAAATATATATATTAGCATGAATTGAATGAAATGCCTGAATTGAATTATGGTTTTTAAAATTTGACATATAAAGAGCATTT